CTCAAAGCGCTTTTACACTACATCTGCATTCACCAGTCATACACATTCATACACTGAGCCTAAGTGCGCAAACAGAAACTAGCATTCACACTCATTCATACACTGGCGGAACAGCCGCCAGGGGCAAATCGGGGTTCAGTATCTTGCCCAAGGACACTTCAACACGCAACCAGGGGGAGCCAGGGATTGAACCGCCGACCTTCCGATTAACGGCCAACCCGCTCTACCTCCTGAGCCAAAAATATTAAAATACTGTAAATACAAAGTAGGTATACATTTCCTAAATACTTGAAACATACTTTACAGTATTTTTACAGTCCTACAGAACAGTCCACAGGCAATACTGTACTACTGTACTCATTGAGTACTGTATTGATATGCAGTACTGCAATTTGCTAGTGAGAGTAGATGTCTTACCTATTCTCATTTCGGAAAGTCCAGATGATGGATGCTACAGTGTACCTGCTCAGATTTGGCTGTACTCTTTGCCCAGCCTCCCTCATTGTTAGACCACATGATCAACCAAAGTGGCTCGGATCTCATCAGAGATTACGGTCCTTGGTCTCACTCTCACTCCCACTCCCACTCCCACTCCCACTCCCACTCTCACTCTCACTCTCACTCTCACTCTCACTCTCACTCTCACTCTCACTCTCACTCCCACTCCCACTCCCACTCCCACTCCCACTCCCACTCCCACTCTCACTCTCACTCTCACTCTCACTCTCACTCTCACTCCCACTCCCACTCCCACTCCCACTCCCACTCCCACGGCTCTGTCTCCAATGTTGGCATCCATTGCTCCACTGAAAAGCTCACCTGTTGCCCTTTTATGCTAAAGCTCTGATTGCTAATTGGAAAACTGTGTGACGGGTGTTTGCCCTTGTGATGAGTCAGTGTGCATATTTGAATGGCAGTGTGTTCCTTGTGAAAACAAGATATTTTCTGCATGAAACTTGTGCCAAAAGCAGAGAATTGTGTGTAGTGTTTTGAAAAAGTTGTGTTTTAGAACTGCAATTTGAGTGTAAAGCAGGAATTGTGCTTGTAGTTTAGCAGAATTGGTTCAGGGGGTTGGTGAATGAGTTACATGTTGTGGTCATTGTGTCTCAAGTACCAGAATTTGTGTGTAAACAATTGAGAAAAACTGTAAAACCATAAACATATATAAATCAAAAGTATAATTTTTAATAATACTTATTTTACAATACTGTACTCCTAAAATGACCATTAGATTGTTTCATACCTGTTCTAATTTCTTTAGATTCAAATTATGGGTGCCACTGTAAAGCAACTCAAGGGCTCTCAGTCCAGCTTCTCTCATTGTCAGCCTCCTCTTCCTTCTCATCTTCCTCCTCTTCAAACTCTTCCTCCTTGAACTTTGTCGTCCCCTGCCTACTCCCCTTGCTCTCTGTCTATTGTTGGCATCCATTCTTCAAAACAGGTAATCTGACCTTTGACTTATTTATAGGCCTATACTGAAGCAGTGATTGGTTAGTGATCAGTTAAGCTGTTAGTGTTTGCACATGTGAGGTGTGGCTGTGTGACCTGGTGAAGAAATGTAGCATTTTGATTGGTTGTGTTTGGAAAAGAAAAGCAAGTCACTTCCTGTTCGATTTTTGTGTCTTAGGTAAATAATTGTGTGTAGTGTTTTGAAAGAAAGTGTTTTATGCAATTGAAAACTGAGTGGAATGCTGAGAAATAGATGATGGTTTTGGAGATTTGAGATGAGGTTTTGCTCTTTGAGTGAGAGGTTTCTAAAGGTTTCTAAAGATTTTGTGTGTAAGCTGTTGTAAAAAACTGAACTGGATTGAGGTAAAGGCTGTATGGTTGAAGATGACAAAATTCCAAAGAACACCCAGAAAAGTAAGAAAATGTTTAGTGTTATGATTCAATGACAGTAGAGAACCTGTCCCTTACTTATAGCTTGGTCAAAGGGTGACATTACGCTGGGCAGGGACTTGACCACATTTTGGTTTGATCACATCATTAGAAACAAATGTGCAGAATTATGAGTTGTTGTGTATAAAATCTGACAGCTATGTTGTAGTTGTGTTTAACTTTTGCCTCATTCATTTAAGGTTTTGCAGCACAAGTGCATCACAGTGCTAAATGTGTTTTAGTGAGTGAGAATGTATTTATAGTTTTGAAAAAAGATTGGATGATATTTGCAAAAAGTGTCTTAACTACCTGACCTTGTTTACGGTTTTGCCAAAAGAGTGATTGATTCGATAAATGGGTTTAGGCCATTGAGCATTTGGTCCAGAGAATGGAGTTTATTGTTTTAGCAATTGTGAAAAACTATAAGGTGCATATTTGTCTACACTTTCTGATTTTTGGATAGGCATTTTTCTCAGCAGCCATTTTGAAGTCATAGCAGGAAAAGCATAGTTGTTGCTAATAACATTAACAATGGCTCAGTTCTACTCAGTATTCCCAGTAAGCCATGACAGTGATCCAGCATGCACAAACCAGGCCCTTAAACTGAAGTAGCTAAATGGAATTCAGCCACCATTCAGTATTATTTACAACTGTGACTTGTCAAAATGACTTCCTTGAAAAAGCCTTGTTGCATGTAGTTTAGCCTACATGCAATAGGCCCCCCTTCCTCCTTCTTTTTCACCCAGCAAACAACAAAACTGTGCCTTGAAGCTGACATTCTCACAATCTGGTTTCTCTACTGAGTTTCTGCTTTTGTCCTTGTTTTATGCCATCCACATAGTCCACATCCACAAGTTTAATGTGGACAAAGGACCAAAATGGAAGGGAGGAAAGACTTATTTCAGAAATTTGCCCATTATGCATACCCTAAAAGACAGCATCTGTGCACTTGTAACAACTGAGCAAAATTAATCTACTGATGAATACTGTGTAATGCTGTCAAAAGCTCCAGAACAACTGCTGTTTCCACAATTACGGATGAACTATCAAGCTTAACAGGATATTGTTTTATTGTATTCCCATTTGTTTTGCTCTTTCGCTGAAGTGCCGAAAGTCATATTATTGTTCACAGACCCTATTCTGAAGGTTGGGACCCTGTTAAAAGACTTGGCTTAAGAAATTAAATGAGCAAAAGACAAGAGATGTGAGAGGAATGGGAATGAGCTCAGATCCTAAATGGAGATGATACTGCACTTACACAGCTGACCTCTGGCCTCACACATTAGTCTGGCAGACAGATTTAAATGCTGCTTTTGCATCCCCCCACCTCCTTTCTTTCTTTACTCATCTCCCTCTCTCACCTTCCCTCCCTCTCCTTTTCTCATGCTCATTCATCTTCAGGCTCCTGTTGGCAGTCGCTCCTCCAGCATGGCTGAGTTAATTAGCTGTGAGCAGTGATGGAGGGAAATATATTCATATTTATGTACCATATTTATGCTGCATTTTCCTGATTGGAAATATACAAAGACACTATGTTGATTTCATATTGCACATTCCACAAATAGTAGCAGGATTCTCTTAATCTGAGAAAGTTGTATTAACTTCTTAATAGCCTGGGATGGCACAGTTTACCGTGGGATACACACACTCTAGACAGGTGAGAATCCACCACAGACCGTGTACTGTCTGCGTCATTCATAGCCTATCTGGTTTCTCAGACATTACCAGGCCCATATGGCTTGAGTTTGGGGCTTACAGACTGTTTGATGTGCTTAGCTTTATGTGTGTGCACATGTGTGTGAAGCCATGAAGGCTTATTTGTTCAGCTTGTCATTTTTCTAGCCCTCATCTTTCTCCCTCTCTCTGCAGCTGCTGCTCCTGTGATTGGTTGAAGTTGGAGATATATACAATGCAGTTGCTCTCTGGGGGACAATGCATGGCTAATTACCTGAATTATTGACAGGCACACAAAAAAAAAACTCTTAAGAGTAGACTTGTCATGAATTTATACTCCCTGTGTCTCTTTGTTGGTAAGATTTATTCTCAAAATGACCCTGCTGGCATGGAAGGAAAAAAATGACTCTAATTTGCGATGATGGGCCTGGAAAGCTTCAGCTTTTGTTGTGATTCATTGCGTGCGTGCGTGCGGACGGGCGTGCGTGCGGGCGTGCGGGCGTGCGTGCAAGCCTGTCATCCCATATTACTTCAATGGGACTTTGAAAAAGCCTGTCATAATGAGGCAAAACTCCAACAAAATTTCTAAATAGGGTGAAGGTTGTGCTGGGTGCAAGTTGCATAAAATCTATGGTGATTGCTCGTGCAAAGAAGCGAGTATATTAGGATAATGGAGGCATTGTTGCCTTCATGTTTATATTTATCAGTTGATTTGTCAGTTCCTCATGAATTCTACTATGGTTTGTCTATTTTGCCAGACAAAAACAATCACAATTCTATTACCCCTAGTAGTATCTAGCAATGACGATAATTTTGGTTTTCTTTGCCTAGGTTATAAGATATCTATTTTCAAATATAACAAATTACAATAGAGGTGAAAAGAATTTTGTATGTGGTGTCCACAGCATTGAAAAATTACATTTAAAGCTGCCCTAACCAATATTTTCTTATTCCCAATGGATCAAACGTGTAATGTGAAAGAGGTCTCTCTTAGAGACAAAGTCACAGAGAATTATCATCCAAATCTGTACCCCTCAGCCAAACTGAACATTTTAGCATCTTTTAGCTCATTGTTTTGGTTTTCCATCAGCCTGGTTTCCAGACACAGCAGGGGGGGGGGAGTCTGATAAACCCACCTGCCCGACCTTCCCAGCACCAGACATCAGACTGACAAAGTAAGCGACTAGCTGGTAAACATGTGGTGCAGTTATATCAGCTAAAAGTGACAACTGGACAAATGTTGCGTCGAGTCTGCTGGATGTATAAATAGAAAACTGTTTTGTTCTCTTAACAAGGTGATAATATGTCATTATTGATTTTACAGCTTGTACGGCTGCCTCCTATTGTGACAATAGGCTGAACCAAACCTTTTAATTGCCAGCATAGATAAAGTACAGCCATTGCTTGTAACATACCCTTCCTTCACTGTTCTTTCTGTCCTCCTTCAGGATGATAACTGGGGCGAAACCACTACCGCAGTGACGGGCACCTCAGAGCTGAGTATTTCCCAGGAAGAAGTTGTTGGACTAGGGAAGGGAATACAGGACCGGACCCAAGACTTCCGCCGCTATCTTCCCTTGGCTGTGGGCTCATGTGTGGGGCTGCTGGTGCTGGCCACGCCCCTGGTCTTTCTGCTTCTTCCGGCTGTTATGTGGCCCGACAGACTGCAGGCTTGTGGCGCAGCCTGCGAGGGCCTCTTCCTCTCCATCGCCTTCAAGCTCCTCATCCTTCTGGTGGCCATTTGGGCCTTGTTTCTCCGTCCGGGCCGTGCCAGCCTGCCCAGAGTGTGTGTGTACCGTGCCTTCCTTACCACACTTACACTCCTGCTCACCATGTCTTATTGGCTCTTCTATGGGGTCCGGATCCTTGATGCCCAGGTGGGTTTTGAAAGTGGGCTTCAGTCAGGGCATTTTATTTATGAGAAAAGTATGCTCTGTTAATTTAAAAAAATATATATTTATTACTGTGATTTGTGGATGAAAACATATTTTATTTAAAATAAGAGAATTTAAAGGGTATTTAGAACAGTAATGAGACTGCTGCATCAGAGTCGTGTGGTTTTCTCAATAATTTTTTTAAAATGTGAATCACACATTTTCTGCCCATATTATGATCATTTCTGGCTTTTGTTAACTTTAGTAAAAATCCTTTTAATTTTGACTTTTATTCATTCACACAAACATAAACTCACCTGCCTCTTTATTAGGTACGCCTGTTCAATTGCTTGTTAACACAAATAGCTAATCAGCCAATCACATGGCAGCAACTCAATGCATTTCGGCATGTAGACGTGGTCAAGACAACTTGCTGAAGCTCAAACCGAGCCTCAGAATGAGGAAGAAAGTGGACTTTGAACATGGCGTGGTTGTTGGCGCCAGACGGGCTGGTCTGAGTATTTCCGAAACTGCTGATCTACTGGGATTTTCAGGCACAACCATCTCTAGGGTTTACAGAGAATGGTCCGAAAAAGAGAGCGACAGTTGTGTGGACGAAAATGCCTTGTTGATGTCGGAGATTAGAGGAGAATGGGCAGACTGGTTCGAGATGACAGAAAGGCGACAGTAACTCAAATAACCACAAGGTATGCAGAAAAACATATCTATACACACAACACGCTGAACCTTGAAGCAGGTCGGCTACAGCAGCAGAAGACCACACCGGGTGCCACTCCTGACAGCTAAAAACAGGAAACTGAGGCTACAATTCACACAGGCTCAACAAAACTGGACAACTGAAGGTTGGAAAAATGTTTCCATGTCTGAGTCTTAATTTTAGCTGCAACCTTTAGATGGCTGGGTCAGAATTTGGCATAAACAACATGAAAGCATGGATCCATCCTGCCTTGGATCAATGGTTCAGGCTGCTGCTGGTGGTGTCATGGTGTGGGGGATATTTTCTTGGTACACTTTTGGCCCCTTGGTACCAGGTGAACATTATTTAAACGTGACAGAGTATTGTTGCTGACCATGTCCATCCCTTTATGACCACAGTGTACCAGTGCATCTTCTGATGGCTAATGCCAGCAGCATAATGCACCATGTCACACAGCTCGAATAATCTCAAACTGGTTTCTTGAATATGACAATTTCACTGTACTCCAGTGGCCTCCACAGTCACCAGATCTCAATCTAATAGAGCGTCTTCAGGATGTGGTGGAATGGGAGATTCACATCATGGATGTGCAGCCAACAAATCTGCAGCAACTGCTTGATGCTATCATGTCAATATGGACCAAAGTCTCTGAGGAATGTTTCCAACACCTTGTTGAAAGTATGCCACAACAATTAAGGCAGTTCTGAAGGCAAAAGGGGGTTAAACCCGGTACTAGCAAGGTGTACCTAATAAAGTGGCCAGTGACATGTATAACAAAATTTTAATTAAATGTACAACTTGTGAGTAATGTTTGAGAATTTTTGATAACTCTCGGATTGTTTTTAAGGTGCCATTTTAAGTTGTTTCTAGAATGCAGTGTTTGATATTTTTCTTAATTGCAATTTTATTCCTGATTTTATATTAATATTTTTATATTAGTAATTGTATTTTGTTTCATTCATATTTCATGTTATCGGTATGTTGTTTGTGTATAACATATTGCCGCTGTCTATCCTGCCCATGACTCTCCTAGATAGGTGGGGTTTTTTTGTTTTTTTTCTCCGTGACACTTTCCAGGTCAAATATATAGGTTAAATAAAATTAAAGAATAGATTTTCACCCAAAAGCAGCAGATGTTCTCATGAAATCTGTGATGTGGTCTAAGCAGGATGACGACTACCATGGTATTGTCCAGTTTGCCGTGTCCCTTGTGGACTCTCAGCTGTTTGTCCACTACCTGGCCGTGGTGCTGCTGGAGCTTCGTCACTTCCAGCCCTGCTACAGCGTGTGTGTCATGCGCTCCACTGACGGAGAGACACGTCACTACAACATAGGACAGCTCAGGTACGAATGCTCGATCACTGTGATTACCTCCTCTACGTGTTTTATATGCAGTTCCTAATGAAAAAATATGACTGAAGAAGAAACTATAAATATAAGGCTTTTACAATTTCACATGTGAATATGAATATTCACATTTGAAAACACACACTGGCGCATGGTCATTACACTCAATCATGTTGAAGTATGTGTGTAATTGGAGGCCCATGTCCACAGGGAAGAGTGGCACAGGCAGTAATTGAGTCACTCATCAGCCTCCTCGTCTAGCTTGCTCAAGGCGAGCTAGTCTAGGAGTTTGGGGGAGGGATGAGAACGTGCTGGACACAGGCACTCATCCTATTGTTGTCTTACATTGTTTCTGTTCCTAGTGTATGACTATGACAGGAGAAAGAAACAACAGTGGTAATTAGATAAGGCTCGTGTGACATGGTTAAAATCGTAATGGGCTTCTTGGTGTGACTTTGAATTAATTTGCAGGATGGTAAACAGGAAGTTAAGACATGTACTGGAGATAGAAATACACTAACCCTACATATTGTATTCATAGCTTCCAGTAAGTTAAAGGGAAACAGCTTCTATTTTACGCATGAGATTCTGTTTACAGGTCTTTGGGAGTACTACTGCATATGTGAAAAAAGAGAAAGAAAGCGCTCTCTCTTGGTGTGGAGTTAGAAAGAATGAGCCTACTAGACCTCTGTAGCCTGCTTCTCATCTGTGCTTGAGGCTTGTGGCTCAGGTTACATTAGTCACTTTTAGCAAATAACGTTGTTGTTTTTTCATTCAACCTTTATTTAATCTCGAGGAATCATTGAGGGCATTCCCTCATTTACAATAACTTCAACAGTAAAGTAAAAACTAAATAAAATACAATAAATCTTTACACTCGAGCAGAGTTTTTTGTAATACTGGCTGTAAATTGACCCATAGGCATAAGTGAGTTAAGCTGGGTGTGCCACTTATGAGTCTAATAATGACTATAGGACAAGTTTAATAGGGAAGCGATATGTGAAGGTCGTTGCCATTAAGGGCTTTAGAAGTAAACATAAACCAATGCTTGTCATATCTTACTGTTAAGATGCCCACCCAACCCAGACAAGAAGACTTAAGTTTTCTGACAAGTGTGTCATTGTGAAATTTAAATGTAACTTTTTCATCCAGCCAGATACCAATATATTTAGACTGTCAATACTGCCACTCTCACTACTATGTCCATTCACAATTGTAATATGCAAACTTTTGTCCACAATGTGTCTGGCTGTAGAAAATGGCATATATTTACTGTTGCATTCAGGATTAATTTAAAATGGAAGAGTGCATCTTGCTATTTGTAGGATTTCGGTGGCTTAGTGTGCAGTATTAGCAAAGCAATACACAACTGAACACATGGAGGGGTCTGGAGTGCAATGCTAAATTGGTGCAGTACTCTAATTACCCATAGTCTTCAGCAGGCAAAATAAAAATGTATCAACATAACCGCTTCTCTTTGTCTAACAAACCACTGTCCAGTGTCTTATATAAGTCAGCCATAATGTAAATTGTATCACTCCTGTCCCTGACTTTTCTCTCTCCATCTCTCCTTTATCTCACACAGCATTCAGAGGGCTGCTCTGTCTATTTTGGAGTATTACTACAGAGATTTTCCACTCCATAACCCAGCACTTCTTTCTGCCTCAAAGCACCGGGCTGCCAAACACCTGGCCGGGTTAAAGGTCTACAACGTAGACGGTTAGTCGCCTCAGCTGTCCCAACAATTACCTCCTATATTATGTAACATTTCTGTGTTGTCCTCGTTGTTATTACTTTGCGTTTCCTTGTTCACCAGGTTTTCTGCTAACTCTGCTCTCTTGTAGTGACATTTCCTTTTCCATCTCCATCTCTCTCCTATAAGCAGCTTTTAAAAATAAACTGAGAACATACCTTTTGGACAGTAAGTGCAGATAAAAGTCTTCAATGTCACTCTGCACTGCACTTTTCACAGGAAGCTGCTAATTTCACGGTTCAGTTCACTCCGTCTATGGTGCACTCTGTAGCCGCTGTCCCTGACATAATGTATCTGCGGCAAAGCCCCCTACTACGCACACACACATATACACACATGTTCATGATATATAACCTTCCTGCTCCCACATACACATTCTGTACTGCCACATATTGCACTCTTTTTAAAAGGGTCTTTCACTCGCCACCCATCAGTCCCCCATTAGCTGCACACACTGTAGATTTTAGGGTCTATGGCAGAGATGCAGTATGGGATAAGATGTCCTCACAGCACCTCCCATCGACCCCACCCCCTTCCCTATCAAAGTGCAGCGGAAAGGCCTCTAAGGGGCTCTGGATTTTCAATTCTTAAATAATTCATCAGAGTCATGCTCATTCCTCCATACTCCCACATCTCTCCTTCTACCCGCTCAGCCTGTCTCCAGCTCAGCTCCCCCCACCCCACTTCTTTATTTCATTTTTTTTGCTCGCTTCAACCCCCACTCACCCACCAGCCCCCCACCCCCCATTCAAAGTCATTCACAGGCGCTCTTCTCATAGCATGAGTATGTAGGCCAGGATGTTAAAGACGCTGGTGTTTACACATATTTTCAGTGGAAAATATTTACAATGCTCCATGTGCACATGCTCTGACAGCATTCTTGCCACAGTATACACAAAGATGGCTTTCAATCTCTCTTTCATACCTGCACACACATGCATAAACACACATATGCAGATCAGATTGTTAATGATTCATATCTTTACCTGACCTGCAGCATTTACTCCCTATAACCTCCCCCAAACAGTACTGATTTTCATGAATATGGACTAGATCTGACTCCCCCACAAAAAAAACCCAGGAGCTCTAATATATTGCTGTACAAGCTCCATCTGCTTTATGGGTTTGTCACACAAACCAGTAAATTCACAGATAAGACAATAATTATTGCCTTTGAAGTGTAAAATGATGAATATTTAATCCACACCCCAATAAAAAGGTTTCCTCCTATTGCCTCTTTTCTCAGAGCTATAATTAACTTTATCTGTGACTGAGACACATGATCTGTCAGGATGCCCAATATAAATAAGTAACACATCTTTCTAAAAAGTATAAAATGGACATACTACTGAGCAAGGAGGTTGATTCCCAGTTGTTTTGCACCTCCTGTGATATGTAAGAGCTGAGCTCTCCTCTCTTCTGACCTTGTCTGTCCTTGATTCAGATTGAGACATAGCCCATTAATCAGAGTCTGGTGGGGTCAGGTGCTGCATCCTCCAGCTCAAACTGATATAAGCAATTTACCTCTGGCCTCTCCTTTTGGTGCAGCCCCAGAGAGTGCAGCAGGAGCGCAGACTGGTAATGGGAATCAGTCACGGGCCATGGTAACAGCTGCCGCCAAGCGCAAAGACGGTGTCCACAATGAGCTGTACTACGAAGAGGCCGACTACGAGAGAAGAGTCCGCAAACGTAGAGCCAGGTGAGTCACAGGAACAAATGCGGGGGTCCGATTATTGACCTAAAGACTCTCAGATGTAAGGGATGTGGGACAATCCACAGTCCTCGTATTGTGCAGAAATGTAATGAAAAGTATATCTGAAACTAATATAAGCTTCAGTAGTCTGAGCTGGTCTAGTCAAGTGGATCTTCCGATGTTACAGTCTTTTTAGTAGCATTGGATCTTTAAATGGCGCCTGACTGTTGTGAAGAAAGCTGTAATAAATGTGTCACTTGGCCTAATTATCGTCTCTCATACAAAGAAAATCAATTTAATAAACAAGGAAATGTTAACTGCCAATTTCAAGTTGATCTGATAAGTTGATCTGATAAGTCTATAAAAACGATTTTTCCCCTCGTGGTTCAGGGCAACATAACTGAGGGGGAAAAAAAACTTTACAACCACAATTTTAATTAAATAATTTTCATTCATGCCCAACTACATGGATGAACATTTTAATATCCAGCAAAAGACTCCCAAATTAGCATCTTTTCATTCCATGCTTGTACACTGTGGGACAAGTGAGCCTCCATTCATCAATCACGATTGCTTCTATAACAAAGTAAGCTTCAAATCTCCCAGTAATGCAGTGATTGAGAGAACAGAAAACACTTTTATGGAGTTTGGCTCTTTCAATAAGAGTCATGTCTGAATAAAGCTGTAAGGAATATCTACAGGACAGACACCTATGTCCAAATGACCTAAAGTCATTACTTTAACAGATGATAGATGAAGCCAGCAATATTATGTCATCATTGTACATGGTACATAGAGTGCTTAATGACTGTTATGATTTAAATACAGACAGAGAGCTAACATTAAACTAAATGCCGTCTTGCTTCTTTGTCAGGCTGGTGGTGGCTGTGGAGGAGGCTTTCACACACGTCCGGCGGATGAAGAAGGAGGATGAGCGTGCAAGTCCGTCCGACATTATGGATGTGCGTGAGGCAGCTCTGGCTATATTTCCCTCCATGGCCCGTGCCCTGCAGAAGTACCTCCGCACCACCAGGAGGCAGCACTGCCACAGCATGGAGAGCATCCAGAAGCACCTGGCATTCTGCCTCGTCAATAACATGAGCCCTAAGGTGAGTTTGGCTTTAACTGAAATTCTAATGACAATATGTATAATGCGTTGTCGCCACAGAAGTCAACATTTACAGCAGGACATAAAGGGTAATTCAGGTATATTACACCTTCGGTGGTGTTTTAATCTGGCCATCATGTCTAGCCATAAAATTGGACTCACCAATGCAATTGCTGACTTTGCTGCAGAAAACAATGCAACAAACAGTTTTGACAATCAAACAAGTTGTATACAAGCCAACACTGGTTTAAATACAATGTAAACTGGGATTTTGGCACTCTTCTACTATGTCATCTGTTTTGTACTGTACTGTATTTCTGTAACGGCTGACAAAAGGCTTGTATCTGCAGCAGTTATGGCTTGGCACTCTTCCTCAAGTAGCATCAGGCAACTTGTGCTTCTTGCCTCGTCTAACTGTTTTTAGTGATGCTGCCATACTATCAGGTCTCAACAAT